TGGGGGCGATATGCTGTCTCTGTAAACCGCTTAGAGAGGGCTGAAAGCCCTATGAAGCGGTATATAAGTCTAACTGCTATTGCTATTGCTATTGCTATTTTTCTATGATTGCTGCATTGTAGCTTGTTTTATTATTAGATTGGCGAGGAGTGTCTCTAATCTATTCAGCTACTGGTGGATTAATCTATGATGGTTTACTGTTGTTGAATGTTGATCTGGTATACTCTTTTAATACATCTATAGAGAGGATTTAATCTACATTAGTTGATCACTTTTTTTGCTCTCTGCAAGTTTGCCCTATACACCTATGGGGTTTTCACAGGTGTTGAAGTTTATTTTATATATGACTCCTCTTTTATCTCAAGTGTTTGGTCTTTTGGTTTGCTTAATATATTCTTCAAGAACTTCGTTGGTTTGTTTACCATGATTATTTTAAATTTGATTAAAATAAATTTGAGATAGGAGATGGCTATAATTTTTATGGTTTGTAACATTTATGTTTTTGTTGGATGGCTTGACCTTTTGATGAAAATGTGTGGCTATTGAGTGTATTGAAAGTGTCCTGTAAGTAGCTTATTTCTTCTTTATGTTATTCCAATGTGTCTCAGTGTGTCATGGCTCATTTTAATATTCAGTATTGTTATGTGCTATTTGGCTGAGATGATTGTAGTCGGAGATTTGGTTTGTTTTCTGGCAGATTTATGTTTGCAACATGCTGTATTTTTGTATAATTAGGAAGTCTATAAGGGTTAATGTATTGTTTTCTGTTTCTGTGAATTTGATTCCCTTGTGAGTAAGGTTGATTCTATTTTTTCTAACTGTTATGTTTTATTTTGACAAAGATGTCATCTATGTAGTGGATTCAGATTGGAACTGAGACAATGGAAAGACTAATTTCTAGATATTACATTACTGTTTCTTTGAGTTGTGAGCTGCCCTGAGTCCCCTCAGGGAAAAGGGCAGCATACAAATGAAATAAAACTCTAAACTCTAAACTCTTTCTACTATGTATGAGTTTTGAGTAACTTTTTATAGATTTTACTTTCAAACTGGAAGCACATAGTGAAGCATAGAAATATGAGTTCCATAGACTTGTATATTTTAATCTTATGTCTTCAGTTAGGTTAGATATGTTATACAACAACACAGAAATTGTTTCATTGCTAGTGTCTGCCTGCCCTTTTTTATATTATCTGTGTACATTTGCATTAGATTACATTGCGGGATATCAACTAGATTTATTATTATTTATTTTTTCTTGCTTTAATTTATTTTGCGATCACTTTTGACTCCACAACCAAAATGATGTACATGTTTCTAAATGTTAGACTTCCAGGTGTTTTCAATTAAAATTGCGATATAATGGTAATTACTGTTCTTTCTTACTAAGCTCAAAATCTTTCCTTTAGTTCCAAACTACAGTATTTTCCTCTTCTGCATCATTATTAGGCTGTTCTTGAATTTATTATCTTTTTTATTAATATATTTATAAACCACCTTTTCTCAAGTAATTTCAAAATCATGAACAGTAAACATGAGATAAACACATAAGAACTGCACGCAATCAAAGCATTGATAGTGAAACAGAATTTGAACATATGCTTTGGAGACAGTAAAAAATATAATAAAACAGAGTAACCAGCTAAGTTCAAAAATGTTTAAAAAGAAAAGACCCACCTGATATTAAAATTATTGTTCCTCTACAACACTATGGTTGAGCTTACTCTACAAGGTGGCCAAGGATGCTATTTCTATATACCAATCTCCTTCCCCACTGCTTTTCTATTATAAATTTTTGCAGGCTGCCCAATGCCAGGATTTTCTAATATAAGAAGTGCCAAAAGGACGATTTTACTTATGATATTCTTCTCAGGGGTGTAACTGAACTGTGAGGAAGAAGAAAAATTTTACGGTCTTTTAAAACCACCTTTTTTTTTTGGGTGACGGATGTCTATGTTAGAAGTAAAGCTGAACAATGTGCTGTTGTTTCTATCGGTATCTGCTCATTCGTCTTTTCCCTTTTGGAAAACAAACAAAAGAAAACTTTTCTACATATTTCTAGATATCCCACCAAAGCCAAATTGCCATTAGCATGATAATTCAAAATTATAAACCAAATTATGTTCCAGAGGAATAGTTGTGTGAGTAGAGACTGAAAGGTTTTACAGGGACATGAATCTTTGAAGGGAAGTAGCCTGCTTTATCAAATTAATAAAAATGCCATAAAGCATAAAACTAATACAGTAAGGAAACAAACAAACCTGTCTCTTGACTTTGATAATATTTTCTTCCAGTTCAGATGGAATCATTTTCCCTCTGTTTAAATGTTTCAAAAAGTGAAATGCAGCGTTTGATAAAGATGGCATGCTCAAATTTTCCAAACATATAAAAAAACTCCTTTCTTTTGCAAGCTAAACAATTCACAGATATGTACTTCTGAACAAATCCCCATGACAATCAAGTCCCATGCAATCATTCTCAAAATGGATACACTTATATACACAAAAAACCACACAATAAGGTGAAGAAGAAAGGAAGAGTTAGTAGGTTTAAATCCTCCATTGTTCATTTTCTTCATGATACATGGTAAACTTCCACAGTACTTAGAACAATATTCTCATTAAAAATCCATTTTTAGAAGGAGGCTACATTAATAATTATGTGGGAACCCTCACAAGCAGAGTCATCTACCAATAGACAATCACCTTTGAATATGCAGAAAACTGTGAGAATAGGAAATAAAGACACAACAGAAGTAATAAAGCCATGAAAATCTCCTTTTCCATCTTCAAGGAATGATAAAGGATATCAGTGAAGTCCTTATCCTTTTTTCCCTCTCACCAAACAAAATAAAATAATAAAATAAAATTTGTTTACTGCTTGGAGAGGACGTAGACTTGGATTTACAGTAGAAGTTCAGGAAAAAAAAAGTCATTTATTGTTTTAAATTGTACTAATGTTCTTCGTTTAAAGCATCATTCACTTTCCAATGGACTCATTCATTATATGCATTGGTGTTCTTGATATCCTTAGACATAAACCCATTTTTTTTCCCCCCTGTGGCAACAAACTTCAGCAGCTAAATCTTGACGACACCAATGGGGACAATAGACCTAGTTTGAGCTGATATATTATTTATGAGAAATTAATTGATACATTTTACAAGAATCCCTTGACTTCATGGCAGATCTGTACCATGCTGGAGGAAAAATTGTCTAGAGGCAGTAATTGAAATAACCTACGCTGCTCTGGGAAAAGTACCTGTTTTTCGCTGTTTGTGAAAGGCTCCCGGGGAGTAGAAATTACTGTCAAATAACTGACAACGAAGTCATTTGCTCAGGGAGATTTAACTTACTGGGAAGGGAGGGGGTGCATTTGGTGAAAATAACGGAGCCGGAAGATGAAAATGCATTTATATCAAAGAACATTAGAGGAAGCGAATTGTACATACTGATATTGTGCAGGAAAACTTTTAAGAACCTTACCTTTCATCACATTTGATAGCAATAACATTATCCACCCCAATTCCCACAACGGCTGCTGCCTTTTTTATAGAATAGTGACTCTGTAGAGGAGAAATCATCAAACAGGAGGGGAAAAAAAAGACTTCACAAAACGCATTAGAGATCAACAATTTTATAACTGCCCTTGTTTTAAGAAAAATGAAAGATGGTAACATTGAGTTTAAAGCCATGACTGGGCTGCTAACATCAGTGGGATCAGTTTTAACAATCCTTATAATTCAGGGGTGGGTTTCAACCGGTTCGCGGCGGTCCCTGTGAACCGGTTGGTCGGCGAACCCGGAAGTAAGTAACTTCCGGAAACGGCGAAGGGCCCACCGGCGCGCCCGCGCTCCTTACCCGGTTTTGACAAGTTCTGCGCTTCCACGCATGCGCAGGATGCATACAGCGCCTGCGCGATCCTCCAGGAGCAGCTGGAGCATCGCACAGATGCTAGTACGCATGTGTGCACCGCACGTGTGCATGCACGTGCACATGTGCACGGCGCACATGCGCAAGGACGCCATTGGCTCCATTCCAATCGAACCGGTTGGAACGGGGC